TCTCCTCTAGCTCAATGGTAGCTTATGGACGCATGTCTGTTTCTGCCATCCAACATGGAAAAAGGGGGCGGTCTTCTGAGGCGCGTGACGTCACGTGCAAAGGGTCAATAGAATTATTTGTTAATTAAAGGCCTAGCATTCACCTGCTACCTTTTGAGTTTTAAACTGAGATCATCTTATACTGAGAAATGAGCTTTAATCAAATCTTTAAATTAATATTTTGCTAAATCCCACAGTTTATTAGACCATCTGCTTCTGCAGTGGTTCCCCAAGTGTGCATGTGTGTTGTAGCTTGTTTTTGCTACTTGATGGGGACGATTTGTAGGAAAATGGAGCCTCTTGGGGACCAAAGCCTGGTCCCCACATCTTCGGAGGCTGATTTTGGGTGAGGGGGTTGGGTTTAGGACCAAGTTGTGAATTGAGTTTAGGTTAGTTTTAGGGTCAGGTAGGTACCTGTGAGGTTAATTCTAAGGTAAATGGTCAGGGTTAGGATATAAAATAAAAAAAAAATGAATGGAAGTCAATGTAAAGTCCTCACAAGGATAGAGAGACATAGTAGGTGCGTGTGTGTGGATGGGTTTTTCCTACAATGTGGGGAGTTTGTTATTTTTTTTTCCAAAAAAGCAGCCTCGTGGGGACCGAAGTGAATCATGGGGGCCAATGCCAGGACCCCATGGATCCAAATGCAAGTTACGGGTGTGGGGTAGGTTAATTTTTGGGTAAATGGTCAGGGTTAGGCTATTAAGTCTAAAAAAAATGAATGGAAGTCAATGAAAGGTCCCCACGGGGTTCAAGAACAAACATGCGTGTGTGTACTTGTGTTTGTTGCATTTTTAGGACTGTTTCTGGTATACACGCCTACCTTGTCACAACCAGGGGTTCTAAAGGGGACCAAAAACCGGTCCTAATGATGGAACTCCATTTTTGGGTTGGGGGTTTGGTTTAGGACTGAGGTGTGAAATAAACTGCAAAGGGCTTTGAAAGGATCTGTGGTTTGAGATGTTGGGTGAATCAGGTTAGTGTTACTGCATAGGGTATGTGTGAAGATACTATGCTACTACCACAGTATATTTTGGCTTAACGTCTGTAAAATAAACTGAGGTACAGTTATAGTTTTAAAACACCAGCAATGACCTTTGGCCTTAGCCCAACTCTGACTAGCCATTAGCTCATCCTCTTGGTCAGAACTCATTCCCCAAATTGAGGTCGTTCAAAAAGCTATCTGCTACACATACGATATTATTGTTGCACACCTTTTCCAGAAAGCCCCATGTTTGAGAGCAACAGCAGTGGCGCACCTGGGCACAGATCGAACAGATTCCAAACAGAAGACACATTTCAAACCAAAAACACACTTCACACACACACACACGCACACTTGACAAATCTCTGCAAGACACTTAGACAAAAGGCATGTTGCATTAGTCTGCACTAAAATCTATAGGCTCTGGAAATCATACGCATACACCCATACACACACAAACACACACACACTGAAATAGAGCAGCAAATCAAACACAGAGTTTAGAGGAGATGCAGGCGGAGCACAGAGCATCCATGGGCAACCTAATCTCCACTAAGCCTTTGGGTCCCTCCTTCCCCTCCAAACCCTGTTGGACAGACATGCAGAGCTCGGTCATGAGTCAGTGTGGCTGAGATGACTGGGTGTGTGTCTCCCCGGTCCTCCTGCTGTATGGACAGAATGAGAGAGAGTGTGCGTGTGTCGAAAAACATGTCAATGCTGCAGTTAAAAGGTGTGATGTGTGTGTGTGAGAGAAAAAGAGATAGAGAAAGAGGACGACCACACTGGAGCACTGGAATGACAGCGGCCCCTGCGATACTGCATGAGAAGCCCCCCAACTTTTCTGTGTGTGGTTGCATGGCCCCCACTCCCAGCCACCCACACCCTACCCCCCCACACCCCGTTCAGAGCAAAAGCGGCATGCAGGCGAGGCCCAGGTCAGTCAGTCAGCCCCCATGCTGCTGCGTGGCGCCGTTACCTCCTCCAGCGAGTCGATCAGGAGCCCGTTTTGTTTGTAGCGCATATAGGCATTAGTGCCCCGAATCTTCGCAGCACGGATTCTAGCGAGGCGAGTTTTCTGTTTGAACAAACAGACCTCTGTTTTAGCCCCTGATGCTTCGTCTGTCAGACTAATTGGCTCTGTCTCTCTCTCTCTGGCAGCCATAGTATTTAACAAAAAAGAAGATATTCTTAAATGTACTATCAGGGAAAAAAATCTGCCTTGGTAAACACTTTAAGGAAAAAAAAAGAATACATATTTTTCTACAGAAAAGTTGCTGACACAATAATCTAAAGAGCATTTGCTCAGTTATTGTCACTCCTCTTTTTTTCAGTCTCCCAACGAAATATTCTTAAAGCAAGTTTAGTCCCATCCGGCACACACACACATGCACACAAACACAATAACAGATTAATATTCTGGAGGATAGTGTTTGCCCTGTCACTCTGCTATGTGTGGATAAGACTGGGGCAGAGGGAGAAAAAAAAGGGCAGAGACAAGCAAAATAAAGGGGGGGGGGGGTCAATACCCTCTGAGCACGTCGTTTCTCCGCCCGCTGGCTTTGGTGGTAGATCCGGCTGAAGTTTGACACGATGACAGGGACAGGCAAGGCAATGACCAGCACCCCACTCAGAGAGCATATGGACCCAAACACCTTCCCTACAATGGTCTTTGGCACCATGTCGCCGTACCTGAAACACACAAAGCAGGACACAGTGACCACACTGAGCAGAAAAATGAAACACCTGACTTTTTTAAAGCAAAATTTCACTTTAAACTAAAACAAACATATGTTGAATAAGGATGGAGTTGTAACAGTTTTGGGGAAATCTTGAAAATAGATAAATTTAGATAATGATCTCACATTAAATAGTAAGATTTCATGAAGTCCATTAGTCCTCGGAGTGTGTGTTGGCAATGGAACTTAACTACTACCACATCAAAGATTTGCCTATTATCCATAAAATCGACTGAGTTGTGGCCATTTTTATGCAGGTTGGTTTGCTGTGGTGGCCATCTTGAATTGGGTTGACTCCGAACATTAATCACTTGAACATGTGCATTCAGTCATTACTTTATAGGGCTGATTTGTCAAATGTTTGTGTTAAGTGTGTAAATCACCAGCTTTATCAAAATACAATATTATACTGATTTGTTTAATCATAAGTCCATCATGATATGATGTTGATTTAACTCAGTCCACAAGTCTGCAAATGATATGATATCAATCCACATCAGGCATACGATATGGATCAGTGATTTTGTTTTGCCTTGATGTAGTTGAATCACTAATCATTTAATCTGTATATTGATGTGGATTGATATATTGTTACACGTCTAGTTTGTGTGTGTAAAAATATGTGCAAACTTATTTGTGCACAATGTTCAGTTAGCACATTGAACTTCATAATAACTGTGGGAAAAAAGTAAATAAAACGAATAAATATTAAACAACTAAAACACTTTTTTTTGGTTCAAAACCAGAAAGAGCTCAGGAGTCATGGCTTTGCAGACCCCTGTCCTTTGGAAAAACTCATTGCAACAATGGCGGAGCTATTTTCTGAGTAAGGGGCTTTCAAGGGGCTACAAGATTAATAGAGGGCCCAAATGTTTGTTAGACATCCTCGCACACAAATCCCTGGTTTTTGTAAGGTGCATTAACCAGTCACATGTTCAAACATTTATCATGTAATTGATAAAAGCTTGCACAGTATATTCTCCTTACCAGTTTTACATGCATATTTACTGTACATAGATTAAATATGCTTAAATACAAAGAATTGTGTTTTTGCAGTACTGTTCAAATTCTCTAAAGAGAAGGAGAATTCTGTAAGTTTGATTCATGCTGGACTATTTCACTCATTAGCACCACTAGTGTTTGGAAATGGACCCTGCATCTATGGCAAAGGACAGATGAGTGACAGGGCAGGGGAACTTCCGGGGACCAATCAGATTTCAGCTCTTGCCAATGCCCCTGTGACCCCGCCCCTAGAAGTGTCCCTGCCTTGCAGCACTGCATTTTCTTGCATCTGGATCACTGGCAAAGCTTTGCTGTCTCCATGATGACAGCCAATAGCACACGTAAAATCCTCACTTTAAGTGGGTGGTCCGCACCACGTTCGCACCACCATTTGTGCAGTTCACTCGCAATGTGCCCACTAACAACTCATGCAAATGTTTTAGTTTCCACACGCAATTTAACACTTGTTATCTGGGATTTTAGTAAATCAGTCTCTAAGAGTTTCATTAAAAACAACCAGTGATTCATGAGATATTTTGCTAACAGACAGAATTTGCTGCAACAGTTAATGGTAAACGTATCAACAAAGATCTCACACAATGATTATAGTTCAGGGTACATGTTAGGGGTCACTTTCAGCTATGACCACACCAAACTGGGTTTTACAAGATCAGTTGGCTTTGATTCCATCTTGAATCAGGTTGATTCCAATCATCAATCAGTGGTAAATATACATTTAGAGATTATTTTCTAAAAGCTTTATTAAAATCTGTTCAGTAGTTCATGATATATTTTTGCTTACAGACAGAGATGGGGCCAAGGTTTAACACCAAAGCTTTAAACAAATACCTCACAAAATCAATTAGTGTTCAAAGTAAGGATTTTGAGATCAATCTTATTTACTGACACAACAGATTTTGGCACAATATCTGTGAAATTTATTGCGTTAAAAACATTTTTGTGTATTTAAGGATGGCTGGCTTTGGCAGCCGACCTGAATTACGCTGTCTTCAAAATTTAATAGATATACATCCAGTGATTAATTTATGAAAATATCTTTAAGATTAATCCCCTGATTGATGAGATAATATGCTAACAGACATATACTCAAGCAAAAACAGTACTGTCTGCCTTTCATCCTTGTAGATGATAAAGATTGGTCTTTGAAAAACTCACCCAGTGGGTCTATTTTAGCATATTAAACAATTATATGTTTAACAATATACCGGTAGTCTTGAAACAGTCAAAGTAACCTTGGAACATTTTACAACTTCAAACATAAAGTCACACATTTTGAAGTGTGTGAGGAGTAAATATAGGACTCCTCTGAAGACTGCTTTTCTTGGCCTACTTTTTTCATGCCATCATGGTGTTCTTCCTTTAAAACCTTGTTTCATATATAATTACACACCTGCTGGCAGCGGCTAATGCTTCCATGTCGTGACCAAATGCGCTACACATCCTCCGTGACCTCTGTTAGGCAAACATCTTGTGAGAGATACAGGGAGCACGGCCATGTCGGGCTAAAGGCAAAGAGGGGAGGGGAGCCATGTGCTACTGACTCCTGGGGCGATTTGTTTAAGACTGTGGACCTCAGCAAGAGCCACCCGTATGTTTGTTCCTTTTGTTTGTTCCCCACATTAGAATAGACCTTGAATTATTGAATGCAGATATGGGAGAGAGAGAGAGAGAGAGAGAGAGAGAGAGAGAGAGAGAGAGAGAGAGAGAGAG